GCCGGGACTGCTGTAAGGTGTGCGGAGGGCTCTCTTCCATTTCTATACCTCCTGATGAAGCCTTCAATAAGGCGAAACGCGTAGAAGAGATCAAGGGATGCCTATCATCTACACCCAGCTATCACATTCAAGTGTTTTTCAGGATTTATTTTGACATGTGTCGTTTGGTAATTATGGACTTTTTACAATCTGTGGACTGGACGGTGATATTTGGGCATCAGATGTCCAGTAGGAGGCTCATCCTTGAACTATGCTTTTAGTATTTCATTGAACTGTGTGTATACTGTTACATTATTCAACGATGTTCTCATAAATTGTGGTTTTATTCTCTAATGTGCACACCTTGAAAACCCCATCACTATACTGTTTTTGATTCTGTACTACTAATGGGTGTGGTGTACCATCCTTGGGACTTAGTGGATCTACTACATGCTGATATTTCCTACAGAATCAGCTGGTCTCCTGAGCACTGGTCCTGATATCCTGTTTTGGGTGGCTCCTTTCCATTGCAGGGTCCTATGGAGCCACCCTTGTGTGTGCTAGTAAGGTGTGTCTCCACAAACACACAGGAACAACAAGGCAAGACTCTGCTCCCCTCTCGTCCCTCTTCCTTCCTTCCTTCCTCAAGATGGATGGGTACTGGAGTCTGCTCTGTCCCTTGTGATCTTGTACTGGATGGGAAGTTCAGGGAAGCTGAGCTGAGAGAGTTGGAGCTGTTTGGAAACATGATGACTGTAAGTGTTTGGGTAAAAATGTAAAGAAATACTTTGCTGGGCAGTGTATATTTCTTTGTTGTGGAATCATTATTAAATCAAAGTTTAATACTACTTTAAAGTCCAACTGACTTTTCAGCTTAAACAAGCAATACAAATACATTTTAGTTGCATCATAACAAAAGGCGTGCAAAGTCTTCAGAAAACAGCCACAACCTAAGAATGCTGCAGGGAGGACCCTTGCTTTTTGTGTGTAAGCAGTGGTCTCTCTTCATAGGAGGGCGCTTGTTCTCTGTGTGTAAGCAGTGGTCTCTCTTCAGAAGAGGGCGCTTGTTCTCTGTGTGTAAGCAGTGGTCTCTCTTCAGAGGAGGGTACTTGTTCTCTGTGTGTAAGCAGTGGTCTCTCTTCAGAGCAGGGGTACTTGTTCTCTGTGTGTAAGCAGTGGTTTCAGTTCAGAGGAGGGTGCGTGCTCTGTGTGTGGAAGCAGTGGTCTCTCTGCAGAGAAGGGCCCTTGCTCTCTGTGTGGAAGCAGTGGTCTCTCTTCAGAGGAGGGTGCTTGTTCTCTGAGTGTAAGCAGTGGTTTCACTTCAGAGTAGGGTGCGTGCTCTCTGTGTGTAAGCAGTGGTCTCTCTTCAGGGAAGGACACTGGCTCTCTGTGTGTAAACATTGGTTTCTCTTCACAGTAGGGCGCTTGCTCTCTCTGTGGAAGCAGTAGTTTCTCTTCAGAGGAGGGCCCTTGCTCTGTGTGTGTAAGCAGTGGTCTCTCTGCAGAGGAGAGCCCTTGCACTCTGTGTGTAAGCAGTGGTCTCTCTGCAGAGGAGGGCCCTTGCTATCTGTGTGTAAGCAGTGGTCTCTCTTCAGAGAAGGACACGTGCTCTCTGTGTGTAAACATTGGTTTCTCTTCACAGTAAGGCGCTTGCTCTCTTTGTGGAAGCAGTGGTCTCTCTTCAGATGAGGGTGCGTGTTCTCTGTTTGTAAGCAGTGGTCTTTCTGCAGAGGTTGAGCACTCCCTCTGTTGAGTCTGAGCTAGAACACTCCGATCAGCAAAACTGATACCCTCTGTGGATTAGAGAGCTTTAGGTCTGACTTATCAGGAGGTGTATTGCACATCTGCAGGGAGTCCGCTGCTTCCCCACAGAGACCAAGGGTTGTATTCTACAACAGGCTGCCACGGGGTGGCCATTTTTACTCAGGCAGCGGTTGCTTTCTAAGGAAAACCAAATGTCCGGGCCCATGTACATTTATGTAGGAATGTAATACAAAAGTGTTATTCGGGACTTAGACTTTGCGCGCCTTTTGTTTCAATGAACCTGGAGTGTATTTCGCTGATTTAAGATGAAATTTCAAGTTTTAAGAAAAAAAATATGAAGAATAATTATAAATGAAAATGAACAAAATTGGTTCCAGCAAATCAACGCTGACAGCGGATCTGGCGTTCCCCCTGAGCCAGGAAGTGCCAATTCTCTTTGCCAGCTTTCCCGTCTTTTCCTGCTAGTACAGTCCAAAGGGCCACACTTACTATAGGCACGAGTAGGGTTGCCACCTTTTCTTCAAGCGAAACCCGAACACTCTTGCAACGCGCTGGCATTTTTTGGGGGAGAGTGAGTTGTGGCTTATTCATATGTAAATAGCGCCGCCCATTCATAAGTAAACATCACAGTCAAATCGATTCTCGGGGGGGGGACAGTAGCCCCTATCTTCATTTTGGTTGCCCATGTCTGCCTGACATCTTGTGTCCGGGTTTCTACTGCCATGAAACCCGAACACAGCATTCAAAACCCGGACTGTCCGGGTGAATCCTGGACAGGTGGCAACCCTAGGCACGAGGCACAGCCTGGGCCCCGAACTGGAATCCGAGGCTCTAAGTGGACGGAGTTTCCATTATTTGCTCATCTTTAGCCAAACAAACAGCAAACTGGCTCAAGGCTTTCAAAGAATGTTTGAAAGTAAAGCGGCCGTCATCTCTTCAAGCTGTCAGGAAAACCCTGCACGTGCGGTCATAGCCTGAAGGGCAATCACATGAACAAGATACACTTCTGTATTATTATTTGTCTGGGCACGACGCCCGCTCATACTTCCTGGCATTCGTACCTCGTAGTGGCATTCAAACGCATCACACTGTAACGTGATCTTCATCCCAGCAAAACAATTTAGCCGACTGGTTTTGCTATTAATCACTGCTGTTTATAGTGAATTGTCATGGCATGTTGGAGACAAGGATCTTCTGGTCCACATGGTCACACCTGCGGAGAACAATGTTCCTGAAGACAATGTAGGTGCCACCAAAACAAAATGTGACAGGTTTCTGAAATATGGGAGAAAAGCAGTTCAGCTATTGTCTGTGAGGTGAAGGCATCCTCCTTGATTTTCTCAATACACCCAGACACCAAGTGACAGCTGCTGTCATTGACTAAGTAATACAAAAATTGAGGATGAAGAAAAACATCACCCGTCCATTTCACTGCCATTGCTGTTGCAATCCGTGTTCCCGTCATGGCACGTAGAAGCGTAATTGTTGTATTATTACATTGAAAGTATCTTCAGGGTTGCATGTTTGTTACATTACGTGGGCTGTAGGTGTTATTAATAGTGAGCAGCTGTCATATTTAGGAATCAGGATCTAGTGTTCTGCCACACCCCTAGTTTAAAAAAATATTGAAATGCCATTATTAAATTGCTTCACATTTGCATTGCAGATCTATAATTGAGATGGGAAACCACCTCACGGGGCTAGAATTATTGGAGATTCCGGAGGTGGCTCTCCTATCACCACATCAGGGGTCGATAAAGGAGTTGAAAAAAGGATTCTTGTGTCCTATAATGACAGCAGCGAGGGCAGTTATCCCCAGGCACTGGTGGTCCTCAACCACCCCCCAGTTATGGGAATGGGTGGATGAATTAAACAGTGTCATGTGCCTGGAGGAGCTTACTTCGCGTCTCTATAATAAGTATCAGCTATTTGTGGAGAAATAGAGACCGAGGAGGGAGTACATTGGATCATCCGAGATTCATAAATTCTTATAGGAGATAAAAGTAATTATATAAAATCTAAAAGTCCAGCCCTAAATAGATAAATAAAAATAGAGCCCTATTAAGGTTCTCCGGCCGGCGTGGGTGTATTTTTTTTTTTAAGGGGTGGGGGGGATGAGGGATGTAAAAGGCTTTTGTGTATTTTTGTACACTTTGATACAAGAATGAATTTTACAGATTTGCGTATATAGAGGGCTATACCAACCAATGGCAAGGCGTGTAACGGGGAAGGGTCAGGTCCAGATACCACAGTACCTGGCGCCTATTTGCATATGAGAGCCCCAGTTGTTAAGGTTTACCTATGCGGTGTAACGGTTTAGAACAGAAGCTGCAGAAAATGAGATTGAGGACTCTGTGTGCTCAATTTCTTTTTCAGTTTCAAAAAGGCAATGTCAGGGGTCTGTTTAGATACATACTATGTCTCCAAAGCCCCCCAACAGTAAAAAAAAAAAAAAAATTAATCCTGTCCTGGAGGTGATGCCATAGCAAACCAGGCGGCCTGCACGGGTAGGGTTGCCACCTTTTCTCCAAGCGAAACCCGAACACTCTAGCGATGCGCTGACATTTACTTGGGAGAATGAGTCGCAGCGCATTCATATGTAAATATCACAGTTGAGACTATTTTCAGTGGGGGGCCAGTAGCCCCTTATCTTAATTTTGGCTGCCCCTGTCTGCCTGACATCTTGTGTCACGGTTTCTGCTGCCATGAAACCTGGACACGGCATTCAAAACCCGGACAGTCCGGGTGAATCCTGGACAGGTGGCATCCCTATGCCCGGGGCCCCCTGTGCCACTGATAAAACTACCACAACCTTTATATAGACATACCAGAATGTGAATAAAGGACAAGATTATTACAAGACCAAAGTGTGTTGGGGAAGATTTTTATTTGCTTTTTAATTTAATTTCAAAGACTTTTATCAGTGCAAAAAAAAAAAAAGTATAGGGATTCATAGTATAGGGACTTCCTAATCCGATATAAGAGCCACGCGTGCACTGGTTGCAGCACATAACATCATCGTATCAGTATCTCCAAAGCCGCTGCTCAGCAAGAAACCGATTGTTCATTTGCGCTTTTTAAATAAAGTTTTACACATATTGCAGCGTGAAAAAAACAACTCTTCGTCGATTGGCTAAGCGATGTCGAGGCTTGGTTAGCAGCGCACCTATTTCAGGCTACGGTGGCCGGGTATGAATTGGGCCTTCCTGGCCCTTGTAATTGGTTTGTGGGTCCTCTGAGCAGGAACATCCGCGGCAGAAGGAAGCGAGGTCGGGTACACAAGGTGCTTGATTAGTGAGAGAGGAATCAGTAAATGGAGGTTGCTGTATGGGCAGGGACAGGCAACTCTGGAGTCCCTCGTGGGTCACTCTTTCCTGTTTGGAATGCAGCATATCTCAGTCCTACCATTGGCCATGATGGCTTCCTGTGGCTAACCAAGTTAAATATCAATCTTTGGGGGGTTTTTTTTAAGTTGATTCAAAGCCAAACTTTATTTTTTTTTATTTGAGATGGATTAGGGAAGGGTCCAACCCCTGTCAGTATTTTTGTGCCTACCGGTCTGTCATAGGGGAGATTTCCCTGCACTTCCTGTCCTGTTTGGACAACAGGACGTTAGATGAAAACCCCCTTTTTGACAGTTGTCACCCAAACAGGTGTCTGCATTGGAAGATGTCACCCTTATTTATGTTGTGGTGACAGTAGACGGTCACCATGACAAATAGGGTGAGGGTGACACAGGCAGCAATAAAATCCTGGCAGAGGTCTCCCTAGGTCTATCCAAAGCTAAATAAATAACTGTAGGATTTAGCAGTTTAAAGTCTTTTAATAGTTGCATACATTCATAACATGAAAACATAAATCAGCCAATGTGTTTTAGGGGCTCAGTGATGTTCCCCCCTTCTTCAGGGCTTATATGTTATTAGTAGATGAGAGGACTCTGGAATGGTACAGTACCAGGATAAATTATTTGTTGTGTCAAAGTGACTGCGAACGGCTAATTGTAAAATCAGCAAAAGACTGCCTTCCGGTCATACTGCCTTCCGTGTCTCTTGTCCATTGTACTTTATTATGGAGAGTCACGTCACCTCCTGGCTGCCAGTTTTGTATGCGTGTGTATAAAACAAAGATGTTTGCTTTACCTTCCAGAGGCAGGATGAGCGACATTCGCCATTCTCTCCTGCGGCGGGATGCTCTCAGTGCAGCGAAGGAGGTGTTGTACCACCTGGATCTCTACTTCAGCAGCCAGCTCCAGAATGCTCCCGTGCCGCTGGTCGAGAAAGGGCCCATAGAACTGCTGGAAGAGTTCATCTTCCAAATACCGAAAGACCGCGGTTCTCACAGCAAGGTAAGTCCAGCAGATTATAACACCAGAGCTGATGGATCTCTAGGGAAATCCTGTTGAAAGAGAACTATAGGGTAAGTTCCCCCCAACTGAGCTTTGGGTCACAGGAGAAGGTTGGTATATGTCCTCCTGTGGCCCTTAAGAGAACTATGAGGAAAAACACTTACCCCATAGTTCTCTTTTAACCCTTGCAGTGCAGCAGTAGGCCCACTACAAAGCACAGACACAGGAGAAGCCCTAAAAAGAATCTGCATCTCTAGGATATGGTGGCCATGAGCAAGTCACGCTAAATACTTCCGTTTGTTATTCATGTGTATGGGGCCCTTGGGCACATCCACACCTATGTATTTTTTTTAAAATCTGTTGCAGTGCATTTCTAATGTATAGGAAGTGGCGCCACTAATGCATATGGAAGATGGAGTTGTGGGGAAAAAAATGTAACCAGCAGGATTTTCTAAAGATGAACCTCATTAAAACACCTAGAACTTTGAGGAGAACTATGAGGCAAGTGAAAATCACTCAGCCTCATAGTTCCAGCCGACCTGTGACAATGAAACTGTCACAGGTTGGCTCAATAGATCGGGAAGTGAGCGAACACATACCGTCGCTCACTCCTCGATCTATCCCTGCAGAGAGCCTCACTCACTGCTCCCTGCAGGGATCCATTCCCCCCCCGTCCGATCCTCCAGCGCTGACTGGCAGAACGGACGGGGGAGGAGGCGGGTACAGCGAGCTCTGCCTCTAGATAAGCAGAGCCAGCTGTCACTCACGCAGCTGGGTGGATCCAGACATAATTGTCGGGATCTGTCTCGGCTGCGGCGTCTGAGAGCTAGCGGTACACTGAGCTTTGGGTGACGGGAGGACGCTAGTTTGTGTCCTCCCGTTACCCTTAGGAGAACTATGGGGAAAAGCACTGACCCCAAAGTTCTCCTTTAATCGTACTCTAGACAATTTGGGGGCAACATAAACAGTGGGTTTTTTTTTTTTGTTTTTTTTTTCTGCAGTTGCATTGAGATCTGTATTGCGTTGTGGTTAGGAAATGTTGCTCTTTCTTTGTCTTTACATTCCATTGTTTTTATTGCACTGCGTATATTTACTGACGGTTGTATCAGATCTCGTGGTTTTTGTGTTTTTGTTTTTTTTCCTATTTCATTCCAGCGACTTGGCGCCATACAAGAGCTTCAGTTGTTGGAGTTGCTGTGCAGTTACTTTCAGGAACAGACGAAGGAGCCGGTCCGGCAGGTCATCTTCAACTCTCTGTTCAGCCCACAAGGCAATAAGGCTGATGAGCAGCGTATGACTCTGCTAGGGAAACTGACCTCTATGGCAGTGGCGGTATGCAGGGTGCCTGTGCTGGAGAGTGCTGCTTCCTGGTTGCAGGTAATCGCTAGGAAAAGTTTAAATGCATTTTTTTTTTCTATTTTGAAGGCTTTGTCCACCTTTGTGACCATGTTTTATGTTTGATCCACATTTATGGTGTAACATGAAACATTGTCACATGCCCCCTCCGTAATTGTCTGAATCATAGGGTGCTTCTTCCTGGAGCGTCCTGCTGCTCCGCCCACACAGCAGCACCATCCATGCACAGAAGACTACAAGTCCCAATCACAATAGAGCGGAAATGTGGTAACGCCATCACACGTATGATCCATTATTGACTTCTTCCAGCCTCATAACAGAAGGCCCGTGCCTCCCTTATAGGCTGGGGTTTGAGGTAAACCATGCGTGAGCCTGTTCATTGCACCCGCGAAGCACTAATTGTGGTTGCAATGCTCTGCAGGCTTCAATGCAAAAATTCACTAAAAGCTAATTTATTATTTTTATTAATGTATATGCATTTATTACGATTTTTGTAAAAGGTGGACTAGTCCTGTAAGTTTTGGAGCAATAGGAAGTGGATATACTGTATGTATTATCAAGTTATTGTGTTTTTTCTTTTCTCTTTTTTTTTTATTTTTATTTTTTTTTACATTTTTGTTTACTTCCTTTCTCTTGCCTTATCCTTTAATACATTACTACAAAATAGTGATTTTTTATGCTGTCCTTTAGAGATGTTTCTATTCAGTTCCTGTCCCAGAGAATAATCAGCAAATGAGGAAGTGAACCCAACAAGGTCACACACGGCAGTCAAATCCTGACCCTGATTTTTCTTCTTTCTAATAAAAACAAAAAAGGTGTTGCCGACGTTCCAGAAATGTGGTTTTAATTGTGAATTAATCCACTGCTCGGTTCCGCCGTTTTTAGGGCTACGGCTTGCTGTTGCAACATAAGACTTGTGTCACACCAGGACTTTAGTTGTTTTGTCCCTTCCACGGGTCATTAATATGTAATAACTGAATTTTTTTTTTTGTGTGGTGAAGTTTTACAGTCTCAATTGACTAATTTTTGCGTTTTTCTCCTCCCAATCCATCCGCAGCGCTCTCCAGCTGTTTATTGTGTTCGCTTGGCCAAAGCACTGGTAGATGACTACTGTGGCCTCGTGCCAGGCTCCATCCAGACGCTGAAACAGATTTTCAATGTCAGCCCCCGCTTCTGCTGTCAGTTTATCACTGCCGTAGCTGCGTTTTATGATATGTCCACAGGTGAGTCATTTTATCAATGTGGTATTTGTGTTAGGGTGTAGGTAATGAAAATGACGTGTGTGTGATTCTGAACAGTGTCTTTGGGCTGCTGCCGCCCAGCACTTGTGTAAACCTTTCAGTTCCAGATGCAGGCTGTCCACTACCTCAACTTGGACCTGACGTGCATCCAGAAATTGATGAAAGCACTGCACACAGTAGCTAAAACACAATTTTTGCCAAACACCACTTCTGTTTCAACCCTGTTCATGGCCCACCTTGATGCTGCTTCCAGAATACTGTGCTTAACGTCACACTTCTCCAATGCAACTAAGGTCAAATGGGCCCATGCCGGATTGTGGCCAGCATCCATTTGCTGGCAAATGCAGAGGAAGAGGGTATGATGTGGCTGCATGGAGGTAATATGGTTAGGGGGCAGTTTTGATTGGGCTGCAGGGGGTACAGAAGTGGCAAAGAAAAGACAGCAATCCAATTTCATTTTGAAGCCACCACCTTCCCATGCTCACTTTGCCTTTGCTCCCCATTTCTCCATTTGCTGTTTGGGTTGATGTAAAAGACCCACAACTTCCATATATGGGAGAACATGGGACATCCTAATCTTCCTCACATGTGACAGTGCTTGTGTTTTGTGGTTGGCCACTCAAGCACCCACTGCTGTCACATAGGTATAGGGAGAGAGTGCTCAACTCTGTGCAAACTCCAAGTCCATCTAGTAGCTTACACAGGACTAGGTCGGATATCTCAGCATTGCTGCTTCACCCTTATGTCCCCTGCACATCAGCAGGCACTTCCGCCCTTTCTTATTTATTTTTTCTTTTGGGTAAGTATCCAGGTGTGACCCTCCCTCGTTGCAGATGGTCATGTAGGCCCAGGGTAGCTCTGAGGCTGGTAGAAAGGCAGAAAGTTATAAAACATGGTTCCATGGAGTGTCTACCACGCTCGTGGGATTTGTCCTTCCTGAATACATATAATCTAGTCAGACTTGAAAATTGTATAATCCATGTACTGAGTGGAAGTAAATAATATAGATATGATCATTCCAAATAGCAATTTCTGTTTCCTTGACATGTATTTTTTTTTTTTTTTCTTACCTGTTTCAGAGGACCTCCTTCCCCCTCATGATCTTCTGGAGATGATCGTATCCTGGATTTTTGAAGATCCCCGCCTCATTCTGATTACTTTTCTCAATACCCCCATCACTGCTAACCTGCCAATTGGCTTCTTGGACTTCTCCCCGCTAATGGGTCTGGTTCGCTGGTGTGTAATTGCCCCTCTTGCCTACAGACGCAAGCAAAAAGCAGCTGGCGGAGAGCCAATTCGAGATAATCAGAAGCTTTACTCCAAGCTCCACCTGAGTGTGCTACAAGGGCTCATGGTCCTTCAAAATCACCTTACAGAGAAAGGACTGTATGGGCGATTGGCACTTGTGTTGTTTGAGCAGCTTGTACCACTAGTTGAAGAGTTGGGGCACCTCTGTGAAGAGCTTAACCCACTCAATGCTGAACAAGAGATGGAGTTGGCATTAGATCGGCTGGCACAGGCGTTACAAGTCTCCATGGCAACAGGGGCGTTAATTTGTACTCGTGGTAAGTGATGGATGAAAAGACACTAAGTAAATTAACAATACCTACAGATAAGAGTTACAGGTAAAATCCAATAAGAATGTAACCTGAGGGACTATATTTAAACACATGTATTAGGGGTGCACTGATACAATTTTTTTGGTATAGTGTACCGATAATTTTCGTTACTCACCAATACCGTTATCGGAAGTCCCATTAAGGAAGCCAGGCGGCGTGTAAAGACTCGCAGCTGGCTTCCCAATTAGCAGGGAAGCCTTCCCCATGCTTCTCGTCACTAGGTGACGAGAAAGCATGTAGCCGGCTTTCTGGCCAATCGGAAAGCCCTGCAGCGTGTAATGATGCGGCGCCCAGCCAGGCAGCTAGTCATTACACGCTGCCAGACTTCCTGATTGGCCGGGAAGCCAGCTCCATGCTCCCTTGTCAATTTTGACGAGGGAGCAAGGGGCCGGCTTCCTGGCCAATCAGGAAGCTGGGCAGCGTGTAATGACTCACTGCCCAGTTTCCCGATAGCGGAAGTATCGGGCTAGGCGTTTGAGTATTTGGGGCGAGTACTAGTACTCGTCCAAATACTCTGCATCGGCACCGATACTAGTATCTGTGCATTCCTAACATGTATTGTTCCGTACCACCCTACATAATGGATTCCTACGTAGAATAGTCATGGCCTAGCTAGGAGATTATGATTAAAAAGTCCTTCAAGTCCAGTTAAAATATTTTGTCTAGTTTTAGAAGCCCTGTGGGGAGGGTTGGAATTGTTTAAAGTTTCAATCGCTGCCTGCGTGCCCATTGGGCTAACCCCCCCCCCATATGTCTGGACATAAGGGTGTATGTAAATATCTTTTCAGCAAGCTAATGCATGGCTTCATAGGTAATGTTGCGTGTGAAATTCCTCTTATATAAACCAACTTTTTTTTTTTGCAGATGACCTCAGGACTCTCTGTTCTCGTCTCCCCCATAATAAGTGAGTATTGAAACAGTTACTCCTATTAATAAATCTATCAGTAAAGTGAATCTAACAACAAAGGTTCTGCAGATTTTGTCATGCCCTTGCTAGCCTGTTATCCATTTGGACAGCTCTATGTTGGCAACTGCAGCGCTACATTAAATTGACTAGGAAGGGCCGATTGTGCCAGATCTCCAAATTAGACCAAAGCGGAGGCCTGGTTCAGGGGAAGCCAGTGTCGGATCGGTGAAGATTTGGCAACAACAGAACCTGTCCTGAGCAATACCCAGGCAGCCATTGATGGCTTCCTCCTTGCTTTTTGGCAGTCATGCCAGTCCTGTTGTGCTCATGCCTTAACCTCCTGCCGTCCGCCTGTTGAGAAAAAACGGACGGACGCCAGACTCCCATTTTGCGGGTTGCCGGCTCCACATGGCATTTTTTTCCCCCCTAGCGTGCGCACGGGCAGGAGAAACCCGTACGTTCAGCATAACCGCTACCGGCTGTTTCTCATACAACCGATCAGCGGCTCTATGGCCGCTGTTCGGTTGTATGGGGTGATTTGATCTGCCCCCCCCCACCTGACCTGCCCCCTCAACCCCTCAACTTCAATCGTCGAGATCCGCTACCCCATCTGCGGCCCGGGACCAGATCTCTGCTTCATCAGCTTCTTTTGGGGTCCCCAGGTGAGGTGACGGGTCCTAGAGACCCCTAATGTCTCCATAAAGAGGACCTGTCAGTGTGCCTTTGCTATTATATAAGGGGTTTGTTATCCCCCCTATGTAATAGCAATAAGTGTAAAAAGAAATAAATATAAATAAAAAAAAAAGTTAAAATAAAATAAGTCACATTTAAAAAAACAACATTTTTAAGCCCCCCACCTTTCCGCACATATAAACGTAAATGTGCGTCAGATGTGTCAGCGAGCGAAAACGACAATTGCGCTACACATGTTACATATCAACGCAAATACAGCGTTGCATGACGGAATAAATGTCAGTCAAAGTACCGCAGCGCTGAATACTGAACAATGGCCTGGATGGGAAGGGGATTTAACACTGTGGACTTCAAGTGGTTAAACAGGCATGCAGGATAGTCTCTTCACTCCAGACTGACTTTGCTTGCTCCATCCATGTTCCAGGTCAGGTCCAGGTGACTTCTATAGTTGCCTTTTTAATTGACGTTGCCACTTCCTGAATTTTTATTAAGTTTTCTACAAATGGTTTTTAGACTTCCCTGCATGCATTGCTTCCTTCAGGTGTGAGATGCAGTGTTCATAATGGGCTATTACAAATTCTAGGAGCCATTTTGTTTTGTATATGGAATCATTTAGGGGTTTTTTTTTTTTTAAACTTTTTCTACTGTGTAGAGTAATGTCTGCCCAATCCCCAAACTAGAATTGTATACTGCAGATATGTTGCAAGTAAAAATGTGAAAGGGGCAATGTCCTTTTAACCATTTCTGTTTTTCTCCCTCAGCCTCATGCAGCTTGTGATCTCTGGCCCGGTTCAGCCTCAGCCTGCTCACGCTCCTTTGACAACTGCATATTACCCCCATATTCATACCCCACCTGTAGGTTACCCTGCTCTCCCAACTCATCCAGCTCACACTGCATTATCTACACACACAGCCCTTCCTGCACACACAACGCTACCGGCTCACGCAGCACTTCCAGCACTCCCTGCTCATGCTGCACTGCCGGCACACGCAGCATTGCCCACCCATGCTCCTTTACCTGGACATCCTGTGCAGACCTTCATGCCTGGCATGGCTTTCCCATACCGGCCAATGCGCTGAGTCACTCCGACATCACAAAGAAAGACTGTCATTGTTACAGAGGAGGAAGTGAACAGCCCAAAGTCAAAAGTACAGAATCTACATGCTGCTGTTGTTGTTTCAGTACATCGAGGAGATGGTCACAGTGCTGGCAGTTATTTGATGTGATATACCTGCCATGGAGGTGACTCTAGTAACACAGTGCCAGTACTACCGAATGGGTCAGACTCCTTTTTTAAAGGGTGTGTCCTTCCAAAACTGACATTTTGGTTATGGTTGGATACATGCAGACTGAGTCACCCATTGATGTCTTATATCTTTCAGAGACTGAGTCAATAAAGCCCTGCACCTCTCAACTTCCCTTCAATGCCAAAAGTACTGAGCTGTTCTCACTCGGATAGAGTCTCCATGGATTACATGTTATGGCAAACTGTTGGCCTTCATAATGGATAGGACAGGATTTAGATCGGAGTGTGTGGAATCTTTCCTCTGGGGTTCCAAAGAGATATAGAAATAAAATAGGTGATTCAACCTGCTTGATACCAAAAAACAAACGAGCACGCCATTTGAGTGGACATTTTAAGTTTGCAACACCAACTGTGCTAAACTTACACAAACCCAGTTACACTATACGATCAAAGGTATGTAGGCACTCGACCATCACGCCTTTTTGAACTTGTTTGTTCACTTTCAAAACCATGGGCATTTATATGGCGTCCGTCCCTCCTTCCTGCTGGTAGGCTTTGCACAAGATTTTAGAGTGCATGTGGGAATTTGTGCCCATTCAGCTGAAGGAGCATTTGTGAGGTCAGTTACTAATGTTGAATGAGAAGACCCGGCCAGTGGCGTCACAAGGGGGGTGCGGCCCGCACCCGCGTGACACCAACGGAGGGGTGACGCCAAAATGACTGACAAGTCATTTTGGTGTCACCCCCCCCTTCCCTCTAAAAAGTCGTGCACTCGGTCATGGACCGAGAGCCCGATAGTGTCAGGAGAGAGGAGGGGACCCAGCGGCATACCTCATACCGCCGGGGTGAACGTCTCGCCCCTCTCTGCCGGCGTCCATCACCAAGCTGGCCACCGGCAGGCATGCCCCTGCACCCGGCTCACAATCTGTATTCCAATTTTTTTTTTTTTTTTTTTTTTTTTTTTTTTTTTATAGACTTGAGGTCAGGGCTTTGTTCCGGCCACTCATGTTCCCCCACGTCAAACTCTCAAAACCATGTTTTTGTGGACCTGGTTTTCTATTGGAAGCGTACAATTGTCTACAATGTCTGCAGGAGTATTAATGGAACCCTTCACTGGCAACACATGAACCTTATCATTTAGGCGGGTGTCCCCCATACTGTGTCCACTAGATTAAGACCACATAGAGTATCAGAACCTATCACTTATCTTCTCTCCAACATCTATCAAAAGCTGAAGCATCAGTTAGCAGAGACTGACCTTTTCAAGGGCCATGTTGAGATTCTTGGCAGCTTGTTTCCTGTAGAAGCATTTAAAGTGACACCAGACTCGGGAGTTAAATCTTAAAAGTGCATTTTAGTACCTTCACAATACTGAACTTTATTTGTAGATCCTCAAATCATCTCTGAATTGGTGCTGACACTGTCCTTCCTTCTGGAGGGGGCTACTTTTGGTCCCTGTGTGTGTTGTAAAGTAGTCACGGCTCCGAGCTCACTCCTGTGATGGACTACAATCTCACATTTAGTTCACCAATTTGTAATGAGAATGTAATCCATCACGTTAGTGAGCTTGGAGCGGTGGCTACTTTACAACACACACAGGGACAATGAGGAACAAAAGTAGCCCCTCCAGAAGGAAGGACAGTGTCGGCACCAATTCAGAGATGATTTGAGGATCTACAGCCGAGTGATACACAAATAAGATACAGATTTGTTTATAGTTCAGGTACTTGAATGTATTTTTAAGGTTTAGTTCCTGATTTTATTGTCACCTCAAATGAAAATGTAAACATTATATACGAAGGGGTAAATACACAAAGTGATACACAAATAAGATACATTTTTGTTATTAGTTGGGGTACTTGAATGCATTTTTTAAGATCTAACTTACTGTCCTTTAACGTTGATAGGTTACAGATATACTCAGCGGTCTCCTGAACTGGTTAGGACTGTCTGGCGGTAATGTTTGCATAGCTGTTGTCTACTCGGAACATTTTTAAATTTAAAATCATGGAATTGCAAATAGAGAGTCTTCTAATGAGGTTGATGCATTCCAAGCTCAGATCCTAAATTCTGTGCATTCTAATCTCCTAGAATTCATTGGTGCCATCCCTGACGTCACCGTCCACACATCCACTCTGTAGCCACAACTGTCACACACAAACCTACAGATGTGGAAATTGGACTCTCTCTCTCTCTCTCTCTCTCTCTCCCCCTCTCTCTTTAAGGGTTTTTCAAGCACATCCGAAAAAGAAAATATGTTAAGGGGGATTTACTAGGACAGGAGCGGAGAAAACTGGGAGCAGCTGTGCATGGCAACCAATCAGCTTCCATCTTTCATTTTCAAAGCTAACAGTTGTAATAGATGCTCAAACATCTTCAATAATGAATCCTAATCAAACAAATATATCTTTTCCAGTAATGTATTTCTTTACATTTTGCCCAAACACTGAGTCATATTTCCAAACAGCTTTACCTCTCGGCTCTGCTTCCCTGAACTTCCTGTCCAGTACAAGATCGCAAGGGACAGAGCAGTTTCCAGCAGCTGTCCATCTACTAACTTGGAGAAGAGGGGGGAGGGCAGTGGATTACCTTGCTGTGTTTGTGGAGACCAAAATCCAGTGTAACCATCGCACTCCTGACCGAATAATACCCTTAGGCCTTGTTCACACCAAGCGCGGAGCAGATCCGCTCAGGTTTCTGCACACGCAGTGCAGTGGGTTTTACCGCGTTTTTGATGCGTTCCGGGTTGCTTTTGGTTAAAAAAAATATATATATATATTTTTTTTCGTTTAGGGCTTTCAGTGCGTTCCAGGCATTTGCACCCGTTTTTGATGCGTTTGCATGCATTCCAGAGCAGGTAAAATAGGGCTTGCTGCAGTTTTTTCACCTGCTCTGGAACTGCACGCTGCGATGTGAACTGGAGCAAAAAATACTATTGGAATACATTTGACGCAGTTTTGATCCGGTCTGCTCTGCACCTACTCCGCACTTGGTGTGAACAAGGCCTTAGAGTCGGGTGGGTGCCAAAGTGACTGCAGATGCCTCTGCAATCCAAGATAAGTGTATGTATAAAGTCACTCGCACTCCAATAGAATTTTAAGTAAAAAACGGTTTAGTGACTCGATTGCTATCACATCGCCACATTGCGGGACAACAGTGGTTCCTTCTTCAGGCAAACAGAATGTGAGATTGGACAGATTATACCATACGTGTATCAATCATAAAATGTCATATCGTGTCCTGGAAGCTTTGTCGAAAAAATGGAGACGGCAGGGGTGAAGAGAAAATAAAAGTTAAATGTACCCAAGCTATCAGGGATCCATGGGTTCATCAAAGCATCATCAGATAAGTACCTTGGAAGGTGAGGAAGTTTACTTCATCTATCAGAGAAAACGTGTAAAGGTGCCCATACACTGCTCGATTCTCGTACGAGAATCGCGGGAAATCCCGCGATCGTACGAGAATCGAGCAGTGTGAACGGAGACGTGCGACCGTTTCTACTGTACGGTCGCACGTCTTCCGTCGAACCAGCATGTTCGAAAACCAGCCGGGAATCGTACGATTCTCGGCTGGTTAGAACGGTGCTCGGAAGACAAATGCCGAACGGGCCGGTGTGCGCACGCGCACACTGCCCGTTCAGCATTGCGGTCATCGGAAGCCTGCCCCTCAGGGGGGCGGGCTTGCGATGATCGAGAGTACGATCTGCCTGTCCAAGATAGGCAGATCGTACGTTTTTTTAAATCCCTTTACAACCATCGCAGGACTAAGGTCTTGCGATGGTTGTACAGTGTATGGCCACCTTAAGAGATTTGCCTAAAGAAGGAACCGCTGTTGTTCCGAAACATCGCTATATGATGTGATAGCAATCGAGTCAATAAACCGCTTTTGACTTGAAATTCTATTAGAGTGCGAGCGACTTTATACATACACTAATCTTGTGTTTGTGGAGACGCACACAGCTTACTAGCACACACAAGGGTGTCTCCATAGGACCCTGCATGGAAAAGGAGCCCCTCTAAAACAGCGCCAACGCTCAGGAGACCAGCTGATTCTGCAGCACACCAAAACCTTTAAAAAATCCTGTGTATTTTTTTTTTAGGAAAATGTTAATAAAAATGTTAACACCGATTACATGTCTAACGTTTGGAAGCGTGTACAATGCAGACACGTGGGTGGTGGCAGATGGGTTCCTTCATTGTTGAATCTGATGGAAAGGTTTTTATCACTGTGCCATGTGTGTACACTCTGTAGAAATGTCTCATGCAAATAATTAGGGAGCTTTTCCTGCCTTGTATGTCTGTGCCACAGAGCTTACAATCATTCCTTTATCTGCGGCTGGCATATTCCATGTGGTGCCCCTGAGCAGACTATAACAGCCGGGAGTCTGTTTACAATAGAAGTGAGGCCATACCTGCAGGGGCGCTAAAATGTGCCGTGAAACATTGTCAAAGTCTCACCCTTCAACTGCTCCCCTCTTACCTGAATAGTGGGGATCTTCGCTGCCCCTCCTGTGGGCCTGCGGGTGTGGTCAGGGAGACAGAGAGAGAGAGACCAGTGAACATCTGTTAACTGATCTCCCTGAATGAACCTGGAAGCGACGCTGATTACATCACTTCCAGCTTCTGAGCTGTCATTCCCTGGCTAGAGAAGCCGAGGTAGAACTTGATCAAGCACGCCGTGTGCTTGATCAGCTTCGATGGGCTGCAAAGGTGACATTAGGGGTCCGATAGACCCCTAATGTCACCTTAAAGAGAACCTGTCCTCTCCAATGTGCAATCACATAGGTGGCTGATACAATCACATAATATGCAGATATATGCTGCATAGCCTGTCACTGGTTTGTACAAGCACTGTCCGTGTCACTGAAATGGTGTGTGCACCTGGCTCTCGCCTATCCACTATTCTGGTGACACTGGTCGGGCAAACTCCAGCCCTCCAGCTATAGTGAAGCTATAAATCCCATCAAGCATCTGTCTCTGGAACGCATGCCTGTGAGAATCATGCAATGCTTCATGGGATTTGTAGTTCCACAACAGATTGCGGAGTTTGCCCATCCCTGCACTGGTGGATAGGTGGGAGCCAGGTGCGCACACCATTTCAGTGACACTGACTGCATCCACCCACTTACATGCATACAAACACTTACCCCTCTGGTGTTATGGCTGGCCTCTTTAGTACTCCAGGTCCTCCTGCCGGCAGGAAATCCTGGTGACCACAATGGCATCCGACTATGCTGAGGGCGCCCTTGTTGTCCTCCCGCCCACTCTGACAAATGCAGAGCGCAGCATGCACAACTTACGCACACCGCACTTTGCTTTTGTTTACATCTCTGGAATAAGTTCCAGTAATTACTTGGCAATCAGATCAAAATTACGGTATTTTCGGATCATTTCTGGCAAGATCCCACATCTGGGTACCTACATTGCATTGTGGGACTGCAGGTTTGCTTAAGGAAGCCAAAACTTGGATAGAGTAAAGGAGAGTTATAACGCAGTCAGCTTTTTTTTTGGCATCTGTATCCCATTGGGGAGGTTTCACTTCCTGTCTGATAGCCACAACAGGAAGTGAGAGAAAATCCCTGCAAAATGAAGGAAACCACTGGTGGTCACTAGGGTCCCCATTGGAAGATTTCCCATCTATTCCTTTTCTGGTGACAACCCAAAATGTGGGATTTTCTTTCACCAGGACATCTCCCTAATGATTCACAGACAGCAATAGAAACCTGACCGGACCTCCACTCCATCCAAAACTTAAAAAAAAGGCTTCAGCCGTCACAAGACAACCTGTAGGTTGCCATCGCTCCTTCTTTCTCTGGCTGTAATGTTTATCCTTTGGCTTTACTGCTTTTTCAGTCTCTGACCTGGTCTCCGTATTCCAGGTCACTGATTTCAATTATTGAAGCCTGGGGTTCAGCATGACAGCCGAGCTGCTATCTTTTTCAGTGGCAGGGGACACACACCTCTGTCATGTCAGTTTTTTTATTAAGCATTGACTATCAGAAAAAGTCAGTATTTGCATACGACATGCGCCGTGGCGTTGGCGAAAACGCCACTTAATGGAATTTTTGGACGTGCACACTACAGCGCATGCTGTTCAGTTTTTATGGCCTCTTATGTTTCTTGAAGGGGAGGTTCACTTTACACCGGAAATTATTTGAACTCGTTTATTTTTATATGTAATGAGCAACCATCAGTGATTTCCCAATGTCCTGCGCTGGCCTTGTGAAAGGGGGGGAGGAGGCTGATCCCAGCAGTAAAAATAGAGGTAAGGGGGAGGACTGAGGATCCCGGGGCCCCACATGGTACACTGCTGCTGGAAGGTCACAATATAACTACTAACATTTAAAAAAGAAAACTATTTCCGGGGTCCCTTTGCTGTTGAATCGGTGTAGCTCCTTTGAATTGGTTTAGCAAAATTAAAGATTTTTGAGGGTTTTAAAGGGGACCTGTGAGAGTGGAATAATGGGGGCAGCCATTGATGGTGGTTTTTAAAGGGGCAGGCTCCAGGTCTGTCATCTGGACTCCCATCCCCCATGCTTGTTTCAGGTCAGTGACTCAGGTGACAGCTGCAGAGATCAAGGCTTTGGGGCTCATTCACACAAAAGTAATTGGGCTGCGCTAGGCAGCATCGCCTGACGCAAAGACAAGATGACAAGCCTTGCTGTGTACGGGGCTTGTTCGCGCCAACGTGCTGCAGTAACTTAAAGCAGGCGTACATTTTATCGCAATGAACTTCCGTGCACAGAGTTAATCTAAATAAATGTTTCAATTTAAAAAAAGCAATGTAGCATGCGTTGTAACAAGGTGCTCATGCACAACACACACCAGTGTATACGCTATGCACGCCATAACGTGTGCGCTGGTGTGAATGGGCCCTTTGAAGACAAGTTGGCGGTGGCAACGACCAAACGTCTGTGCTCGCAGGTTATCTTAGAGCACCTGAGCTCACATTAACGCATGGACAGCACTGTCTATGACCCCCGTCCCATCTTGCAGTGTGCACATCTCCCATGTGCAGATATTTTGGGATTGGTTAGCTAGACAAGTGTCCCATCTGCCTGCAACTATTGGGATCAACTGTACATTTCAAACCTCGGGACAGTCTGGAGAACGCAAAGA